CTTCAAAGCTTATCAAAGTTTCCCAGTTGCAGTTGGTGCTATCTCCCACTATAATCTTCCCCTGCTTATAGACCGTGCCCCAGTTGAAGGGTGGGAGAGATGGCCAGCTTTCTTTTCTAGGGCTTAGGTAATTGACTGGTTAAGTTTTCAGGAGAGCAGAAAGAGAAGCATGAGGTAGAAGCAAGCTAGCCATTGAATGGCAACTAATATGAGCACAAGTGAAAGATCAGGAGGAGGGTCCTGGTATTGCAAGAGTTTACCTCTTTGCTGATGCTTAAAAAGTCTTTGAGAAGGGAGGAGCAACTACTGTGAGAGAGGGACTCACTGTCCTTTGTCCCTCTGCACAAAAGGCCAAAACTGGAGGGTAGGGCACCAGGTATTCACTCAACTGGAAGAAAGCAAAACCACCCCTCATCTGGAACAGAAATGCATACTGAATAGAACTCCAGCTACAGAAGGGCATAAGCACTAAGAAGGCCACACCTGAAGAACCAGGGACACCGTGCCTGAAGACTGGATCAGGACAGTGCAACAGTACACTGACCTGATCCATCTAAGCTGCTCTAAAGGCCTAGCAGAAGGAAAGGTGTGCATAACTGAAAATCCTTTGAGTTTCTGCTGGCGTACATGACGGATCAAACTTCTAACACTCTTTAAACAGACTTGCACAAATTAGACTGATTTCACATACTGACACTATCAGATAATAAATTAGAGGATATGATAGAATTTAACAAAAATCAACTTGGAAAGTCAAAGGTGTAGAGACAGGGGTGGGGTATAACTTAGTGGTAGTAATTCCCCCCCCCCCCCATTCATAACTACCAGGACACTTAAGACTTCCTGGAGGCACAGGAGATGACTCATTAGAGCTGGTTGAGGTGGCACATGCCTGTAATCCCAGCACTCAGGGAGGCAGAGGCAGGTGGATTCTGTGAGTTTGAGGCCTGCCAGGGCTACGCAGAGAAAACATGTCTCGAAAAACAAAACAAAAAGCTCATCAGGTAAAGGCACCTGTTGCCAAAATTGAGTCTCACCCCAAGAGCTTATGGTGGAAAGAACCAGCTCCACCCAGTGTCTGACATGCATACCCACAAATAAGTAGAATTACCAGATTCCGGGTTTAAAAAAGAAAAAAAGGGCATTGACGTGGACCAGCTCATGCCCATGCTGAGCAAGTCTAGTAGCCAGAGTTTGAATTCCCTGGATCCACATGAAGGAAGGAGAGAACCAACTTTCAGATTATCATCTGACCTCCATAGGTGCCCACACACCCTATACACAGTAATAAGCCAGATGAGGTGGCACACCTTTAATTCCAGTACCTAGAAGGCAGAGGCAGACTAAACTGCCAGGGCTACACACTGAGACCCTGTCCCAGTAAATTCAATACTAGGGTGTTGGAAAGATGGCTCAGGGGTTCTACTTGGCTGCTCTTGCAGAGGACCCTGTTGGTTCCCAGCGCCCACACAGCTTCTAGCAACTTCAGTTCCAGGGGATCAGAGAAAGTGCTAATGTAGAGTAACTTCATACATAGATATCACTAGTATAGCATATGTAAATTGCTGAGATGTTTCTTTCCTAGTTTCCTACATGTACTTTCACTTACTGAACCATCATCACCAGCCCTCCTTTCTGAATCTTAAGAATCCTCTCTCTAGGAGGAAATGTTACACTCAGTAACAGTCCGGTGTGAACAGCTACTTCTTTACCATGTTTCCCTTTCCCTCCCTGAGAGCCAGACTCTTCCTTATTTTGCTGTGGTGGAGAGAGCTGGCCTTAGCCCCAGAACGACCACAAAGTTGGGCCATCATTTTATGGTGCTAGGTTAGAGAGTAGTCACTGGCTCCTACTGATTGCTACTGAAGGCAAAGACCCAGAACCTGGCTGCTTCACTGACCCACACAGTCATAGACGCTTTGACCCAAATAGCTTAAGTAGCTTATTCCCAGGTGGAATGACCTCATTCTTTGTATTTCCAAGCGGGATGACTTAGTTCTCTGTGAGCATGAAGCATCCTTTACCTCCGTGATGATACGGAATAAAGACGGGTCGGGCTGAACTTCCATTTAGTATTTATTTATTTGCAATAGAATCAAATCTAGGACCCTGCCATGCTCTAGCACTGAGCTACATCTCCAGCTCTTGATATCATTAATTCAATTACAGAATTACAGGATTACAGAATCTACGTAAATGTAATTCTTTAGGTTCTTAGGAAGTTTTGTATAGTTTGGGGGCCAGAGATGGAGCTCAGTTGCCTCAGTGTTTCCCTATCATGCATGAAGTCCAGAGTTTTAAATTCCAGCACTCCATAAACTGGGCATGGTGGCCATGCTCGAATTCCAAAGCCCAAGAGGGTCAAAATTCAAGGTCATCTTCAGTTACCAGCCAATTCAAGGCCAGCATGTCTTCAAATGTAAGAAAAGCAGGTGGAGGAATGGCTCAGTGGATAAGGTTGCTTATCAGCAAGTCTAATGACCTGAGTTGGATTTGATCCCCCGACTCCTGTGATGGAAAGAGAAAACCAACTCTGGCTTCATTGTCCCCTCCCTCCACACACAATAAATGTAATTAAAGGTATTTTTGTGTATGAATGTTTTGCTTGCATGTATATATGTGCACCACAGTCATGCCTGGAGACTAGAGGAGAGCATCAGGTCTTTTGGAACTGGAGTTAGTTGTGAGCCTCCATGTAGATGCTGGAAATTGAATCCTCTGCAAAAGCAACAGTCAATATTGTAAAACTGCTGAGCCATTTTTCCACCCACCGCCAATATTATTATTTATTTGACAGTTAAATTATGTGGAATTTAAATTATGTGGCCTGGAATTCACAGAGATCTACTTGTCTCTGCCTTGAGTGTTGGGATTAAAGGCATATACCACCATGCCTGGTCGTTAACAGATTATACTTGTGTTTCAGCGACAAATGTGTACTTAAATAATTTAGACTTAAATTTTGTTTTCGTCTTTTTGTTTGGTTGGTTTTTGAGACACGGTTTCTCTGTGTAGCTCTGGCTGTCCTGATACTCTGTAGACCAGTCTGGCCTCAAACTCACAGAGGTCTATCTGTCTCTGCCTCCCAAATCCTGGGATTAAAGACGTGCCGCCACCACCTAGCTAGATTTATGATTTGTAACGTGTAATCCCAGCACTCAGGGAGGCAGAGACAGGCTAATGGTGGGGGGGGGGGGGGAGGAGCTTAATGTTAAATTGTAACCTTAAGCCATATTAACACATTGCACATTTAAAAGATTTCATTAGAGCCCTAAGCAAGAACTTAGTGTTAGAGCACTTGCCTAACATGGACAAGGCCCTGGATTCATCCCACACACACACACACACACACACACACACACACACACACACGCACAAATAAATGAATAGCCAACCAACCTCATTCCCTTTTGGCTAGCACCTATGCTTAGTAATTTAACAGATTAACAACCATAAAAAGACACGTGATACATGGTCTCTATGAGCTTTAGAAAACGTTGGAATGAGCCGTGTTAAAAAAAAAAAAGAATGGCCCCAAAATGTCACGACGGCAAAACTGGGAGACCGCGGTGTTACCTATGGGCACTGTTGCAAACAAAGACATTTGCCGAGAGAATTAGTGTGTCTCCTGAGTGTATAAAGTACTCCAGAGCTCCAAGAGCTGAGACAGTTTCCTAAAATGAGTGAAGGAAATGATTCAACAAAGGAAGCCTGAGAGAAAGGAACCTGGTTTAGCTGCATCAACAACCCACTTCATCCAAGCTCATTTTGTGGAAACAATGAGAACCTGAGCTGCTGCGGCCCAGCCCCTACGAATTAATTCGTAAAAGGCCTCCAGACTGTAAAATGTACTTATAAGTGCATTGAAGTATGGTGTTTGGGCTCCAAAAAAAGAAAAAAAAAAAGTCTTTATTAAATTCAGTCTGCCCTCATGCGTTGTCACTGAGCCACAGCCTAGAAATGGGAACAAGGAAGTGATCATTATAGCCTGTGAGATTAGGAATAACATTTTCAAAAATTTTAAAACGTCACCAGTTGAAATTAAAGAATTAAACTTGGGAACGTCTAAGTTTATTAAACAGTTTAAAAAATCAAAATAATTTCAGAGTAATCTTTTTTTTTTTGCTTATGAAAATTCCTTCAGGAGATGCTCTTTTAATGGTGTGTGTGTGTGTGCAAACGTGTTTGCATGAAGCCAGAGGACAATCTGAGTGTCAACCTCAGGAATGCCCATCCACCTACTTTGGCCTAGAGCTCACCAACTAGACTAGACGGGCTGGCTTAGGGTTCCTCTGGGAAGACCGTTTAGAACGATCTTGTGTGAACCTTGGAATCTGGGCTACAGAGAAGGTATATAGGAGCCAACACCTATAGAAAGGGAAAAATAGTAGCAGTGAGGCTGGAGGAGTTCACTGAACAATTAGACTCGTGGGAGCATCCTCACTGGAGATCTGGGAGGTGAAGCAATCCCTGGGGTTGACTTGTCTGAGGGGTGAATCTCTTGGGTATGAGTCTGTATAAACACCTTAGGTGAAGAGGAACTCAAAGGCCTGATCCGCTTCGTAGTATTTTGACCAAAGGATCACTGCTACACACAACTCAGCAAGGGAGCAATTCCCTACAACCATCTCCTTGACCGGCGACCCTTTCCCCGAGTTGCGCAGGCACAGCCGGCGAAGCTGCGCGCAGCGACCCGGCTAACCTCGGGGAGCCCAGCGTCACCGGAGGTAAAGTCCTCGGCAAGCGAAAGTCCGCGCATAACCGTGGATCTGGCAGTGAGATCCGGCCTCGTGAGTTCAGTATTTTATTTTCATAACTATTTCACGACTAAAAGCAAAAAGCACTGCCAAAGCAGGCTACTGCAAGCACGCACGTACCGGACGCCCAGCCTCTGCGCCGGCGCTCTCTGCGGTCAAACCGCATGCGCGCGCCCCAGCCCCGCCCACCCTAGGGCTCGGGTCACGTGGGGGCGTGGCCGTCTGCGCGCCTGCGCGCCGCGGGCCGACGGCGACCAGCCTGCCCGCGGCCGAGCTGGGCTTTGCGACCGCGGTGGGAGCCGCGCCTCAGGCTCCGCCGCCAGCCGGGGCTCGGGCTGGGGCCCGGGCCCCCGGGGATGGCCCTCCGGCCCACACAGGGCGACGGCTCCGCCGGCCGCTGGGACCGCGGCTCGGGGAAAGCAGGTACGGAGGGCGGCGGGCTGGGGCGACGAGCGAGGGCCGCACGGCGGCCGGGCCCTGAGGGGGGCGGCGGCGGCGGCGGATGAGGAGCCGGGCCTTGGCCGGGGCACCGCCTGCCACGTCCGCAGAGCCGGCCGCCTGCGCGGGGCGGCTGCCGGAGCTCCGGCCTCCGCTCTGCGCTCGTGACCCCAAAATTCCCCTCTGCACGCGCACACACAAACTCACGGAAAGTCACCCCTGTCCAATTCCAGAAGGTCCCGTCGGTGAGCCCTTCATCCCACACTCACTCCCTGCTCAGCTACTTTCTGGCCCTTTCCGGGGCCACCTATGTTAGTGTTCGGTTGTGCATAAAGCAGTGCTGTTTTCCGCACTCCTTCAGTCTAAACCATTTCTGTGAAATCTTGGTTTTGTTGTGCACGTGTTCTGGGATACGTTTTCCGTATGGTGACTGCTTGTTGGTGAAAATTCCCGTGCCAGGTGAGCTAATCCGAAGGCGCTGTCCTCTGACAGGTGGTGCGCATGTTAGAACCGACCCTGTTATCCCACCCACATGTTTGGATGACGCTCCTGGATTCCATCTCTTGTTTCTTCAGCTCGTTTTCTGTTATTTCTCTTTCCTCATTTGATACTGGCCGCAATTGAGGTTCGGCCTGTGAGCTACTACTTTCTTGGCTCTTCGGTATTTGAAACAGCCTTTGCCGGTGTCTGTGTGACATCTGCCCTTATGACTTAATAGCCAGTGTCCCAAGTGATATGGGTCTTGTGACCTTTTGCAGTGCAGCTGTGTCTTGCTTGCAAAACTTTGGGTGTTCCAGCTTGTCTGGATGGAAAGGGAATTCAAAGGATCATTCTTAGTTTAGCTTGCTTTTAAATATATTGGAAAAATGGTGACCAGATTGCTAATTCTAGGAGCCCTCCTTTGTAGAATTTATGGCAGAATTGGTTTGCTCGTTTTTCTCCATTTTTCAGTAAAGTATTCTTTTTTCTTTTCTTTTCTTTTCTTTTCTTTTTTTTTTTTAAGGGGGCAGGAAGTGCTGGAAGATGGATCGGTTATCCCGAACTATATGGCTAGGGCCCTTTTACAGTTACTTTCAGACAGGATCTTGATAATTTACCCTGGAACTTACCATCTCCCTGCTTCAGTCCATTTTTACTTTAGTACTTAGTGAATTCCTTCTAGATCAGTTATGTTTTTGTTTTCTGTTTTGTTTTTTATTTGTTTGTTTTTCTAGACATGGTTTCTCTGTGTAGCCTTAGCTGTCCTGGACTCACTTTGTAGACCATGCTGGCCTCGAACTCATAGATATCTAACTGCCTCTGCCTCCCAGAGTGCTGGGATTAACAGGTGTGTGCCACCACACCTGGCTTTGGTTGTTTTATAGAAATAAATTAGTACTATCAAAGGCACAGGGCACTTGGGCTTATGTGTTTATTTGGTTGGTTTTTGTCAACACAGGGTTTCTCTGTGTAGCCCTGGCTATCTTTGAACTTGCTCTGCAGACAAGGCTGGCCTCTGTCGCATAGATCCTCCTGCCTCTGCCTCACAAGTGCTATATTTTTGTGGTTCACTATCCATGTCTTATACAAACATGATGCTCAGACAGACATACTTTTTTTTTTTTCCTTTTTCTTTTTTGGGTTCTCAAGACAGGGTCTCACTCTGTAGCCCTTGGTGTCCTTGAACTCACTCTGTAGACCAGGCTGGCCTTTATCTCAGAGATTCCCCTGCCTCTTCATGCAACACCACCACCACTACCCAGCCCTTTATTTATTTTACTGTTTCTTTTGAGATCAAGTCTCATGGAGCCCAGGTTGGCCTTCAACTTATTGTGTAACAGAGAGTGGCCTTGTGTGTAGGTTCTGCGTCCACTTCCCTGGTGTTAGGCACAGTTGTGCACTGCCACACCTGTTAGTGCTATTATTTTTCTTGGCTGTGTTGTTCAGTATATGTGCTGTGGAAGCAAGCACAGTGATTTTTGGTTTGGTTGGTTGGTTGGTTTTTGGAAACAGGGTCTCAATATGTAGTTTTGACTGGCCTGGAGCTCTATATGTAGACCAGATTGGCCTCAAGAAAGCTTTACAGTTTTAAACAGTCTCCAAAGTTTTTACAGCTTAACAGTCTTTAAATAGAAGTTAGATTGGATTTTAAAATGCTAACATTTCCCCAGAACCCCCTCACACACACACACACACACACACACACACACACACACACACAAAGCAAAATAATATTCCTATAAATGTTAGCACTGCCTGGGCATAGTAGCCCACACCTTCAATCCCAGTACTCAGGAAGGCAGATAGATCTCTGTGAGTTTGAGGCCAGCCTAGTCTACATAGAGAGTTTAAGCTAAACAGTGAGATCCTGTCGCAAAAATAAAATGAGTAGGGGCTAGGGCTATAGCTCAGTAGTCAGTTACTTGTTCATGTAACGTGAGGCCTATGGTTTATTCTCCAGTACCAGGGAGGGAGAAGAAAAAAATCTGCTTCAGTTGCCTTTATTAAAATAAGCATGTTAGGGCCAGGGATTTAGCACACACTTACCTGCAAAGTACAAGGCCTTAGTCTCCAGCCCCAGTGCCATGAAAAGAAATTACTGGAGAGTAGGCCAAAGTCGTGCCATTATCATTTCTTTCTCTTCGACTGAGTCAATTACTTTTCAGGCATCTAGAACTTATTTATAGACATTGTAATATTTTGTAAAAGACCTAGGATGATCATTTATTTTATCATGGAGATGATAGCCAAGTCCATGTCCACAGAGATTTGGAAGCTATCAGCTTTGGAGTATGTCATGCATCACTCCTCTAAGTGAAGCAGTTAGAATTTACCTTAAAGTAAAATGGATAGTGGACATGCATTTTAATCTTTTCCTGAATACCCCAGCAGTAACTATGACTTTCCTTTAGTAGGAGAAATAGGATGTTTGTGCATTAGTTGTTCAGTGGTGACCCTGATGCTCTGTTGTGTAGGCTGACCATTGGCCTCACTGTGTAGTTCTCTCACTTGTTTTCTCTTTCTGAATCACAATGATACACTGTACATTAGGCCCAGGAAAGTATGTGTAAGGTGGCATATGTAGGAATGACGTTCTCATCTACCACTAAGCTTTAAGCTTGTGAGTGAGTGTGGAGGTCAGAGGACAACATCCATGAGTCAGTTCTCTTGCCACCTTGTGAGATCTGGTGATAAAACCTGGGTCATCTGGCTTGTATGCCCTGCCAACCCTACCTACTGGCAGGTAAGTCTAAGGAAGGCAGAATCCAAGAGGCCAGACAGCACTCCAAATCCAATTTGAATACACTCCTCAGAGAAGCACCCTGAGCTGTAAGGAAAGCCAGAAAAATCTACAGAATTGTACAGAATTCTGTAGTGAGCCACACAGCAGTGTGGTAAAAAGTAATGCCACCTTACTACTGGGCATTTTTTTCCCAGAAGAGCAGAAACTAAGTAAGCTAAGTAATTTATTCTACTACATACATACTTCTTGAGTTCTACAGACTCAAAATCAAGAGGCTTGGCCAGGCTCAGTGGGCACTTCTTTAATCCCAGCACTCAGGAGGCAGAGACAGACAGAACTAGTTGAGGCCAGCGAGGACTAATGAGACCCAGGACTAATGAGTCTCAAAAACAACAGCCAGGTATGGTGTCTCATGCCTTTGACCTCAGGACTTAGAAGGCAGGATTCAAGGCCAACCTGGTCTACAGAGCAAGTTCCAGGACAGTCAGAACTACATAGAGAGACCCTGTCTTGTAAAACAAAAACAAACAATAACAACAAAAAGCTGACAAGTATGTGGTTTGGTTCAGAGTTAACTCATGACTGTGTCTTTGCCCAGATCTCATGGGAATACAGGAAACTGCAAACTGTTCTTTTCCAACATTGCTGAATAGCTTATTGGGAATGGGCAGAAATGAGGGTTTGTTTTGTTTTTGTTTTTTGTTTTTTCCATATTCTTGGCGAAGGGTCAACAAAACTTGGAAATGGCAGCTTCCCACAGGCAGTATTTGGGACTGCCACATCAGGGCTCTTCCATGTTGTATGTGGAAGTTGCAAGGGCACTTACTCACTGCAGAAGTCTCACATGGCACATCTACTGTGCTCGTTAGAGACTAACAGTTCCTGCTCAGTTTCCTGCTCAGCCTGCTGCTGAGGGCATGAAGCATACGTAGCTCCCATGGTAGGTAGGATACTTGTGTAGTATGTATAGGCCCAGAGTTCATTTTTAGAGCAAGAAAAAAAATTTTTTTTTCTTACTCTTCTTAATCCTCTTGGAAAGCATGCAGCCTTATTTTCAAAGGACATAGCTCTGCAGAGAAAGCCCACACTGCCTGCAGGAAGAACCCAGCCTGAAGGTTAGGTACCCCCACTGCAGTCCTAACTTCCTTCTGTTCTCTCTGCCTGATCCTTCCTGTTTCTTGGCCGTGGTGGTTTGCTTACATGACAACCCACTCTTTCCTCTACCAGGAATGCTTTGCCTTCCAAACACTCTTCCATGTGGCAAACTTTTCACAGGATTTCAAAATCAATTTCTGCCAAAAAAAGACTCGTTAACTTAGAAATAGTCTTTTCCCTGGGTCTTCTTCACCCTTCAGGGTTCTCAAATACCCTGTGTACTAATTATGTCTCTTCCTGCTGTAAGTGTCTCAGGAGTTGCAAAGGAGTCATTGTTCATCCTTTACCTCAGTGCTTAGTATAGACTCTTTGCATGATGGACCACCAGCTGGATGGGAGGTAGGAAGGCAGGCACAGCTGAGGCCAGAGCTTGACACCTCAGAAACTTTTGTCTGGGGAGGTCCTTTACTGAGAAAAGAGCCTGAATTTTTTATTTCTAGGTAAAGCAGCCATTTAATTTAACAGCCAACCTGAGCCAGTCTTGAGAGTAAAGAGAACAGTTTGAATTTACTCTGAGCAGTTATGGTCACAGGTTAGACTTATCCTGGTAAGACCTCAGACACTGGTCACCCTCTGTGTTACTAGGGAGTATAACAACAGTCTAGCAAGAGAACAGCTTTACCCAGGCCCAAAAATCACTTGTTACTTTCCTGGCTGACCTCCAATTGCATGTGACTCCAAAGCTCTGCTTGTGTGGCCCATATGTCATAGCTTACACAGGTTGATCACCAGGACTATTAACAACTCCAGTTTATGTGAGTAATGTCACCTTTGTCATGAACACATTGTCTCAGAATAGGACATTACTGCAGTTATCTGACCATTACCTCCTCCAGAGCCTAATATACCATGTAATGTTGTCACTCAAGTCTTAACCTACCTTCTTTTGATGGCGTCCGACTTACATTAACCCTGGTGTCTAGTATCTAGTAGCTGTTCTGTAGATGTGTGTGTGCATATGTAGCCTGGCCGTTCTTGGCCTTACTGTAGACATGCTTTCTTGATAATTATAATGTACTACCTTGTGACATTTGGTGCTTATATGTTGAAATTCTTGTAATTTCTGTTTTCTCAATGGTGCAGGTATCCATAAAATCTAACAAGTGTCATCTGCAGTACCTAAAAGTAGATGGTCTGCTTGAGAACCAAGAGGCTGACTCCTATTGAAATGGGAGAGTTAGGACAGATGGCCGCCTCAGATGCTCATCCTGTTTTCTAAAAAAACTCTACGTTTGAGGCAGAAGCAGGCAGATAGCTGTGTGTTTGAGGCCAGTCTAGTCTACATGGCAAATTCCAGGCCAACCTAGAGTACACTGAGATCCCGTCTTTAAAAAAAGTTGAGCTGAGTATGATGGCATATGCCCTTAATCCTAGAACTTGTAAGGCAAGCAAATAGGCAGATCTCTTGAGTTCAAAGCCAGCCTGGTCTACACAGTGAGTTCCAGGACAGCCAGGGCTACACAGAGAAACCCTGTCTCAAAGAACCCTTCCCCCCACATACACACATATGCTGCCCATAGCCTCCCACCAAATAAAAAGTAATTTTTCTTTTGTTTTGTTTTTTGAAATAAGATCTTATGGCCTTGAACATGCTTTGTAGAAGAGAGAGAGGCTGGTAGTCTGCCTCCCAAGTGCTGGAAATAAAGGCATGCTCCATTATGGCTGGCTTCTACAAGAATAATTTCAGTATTATAAACTGGCTGTAAATAAGTCTCTTGCATATGAATGTGAGCTGCTTTGTGGCTGGGATGTAGCTTAGTTGGTAGAGTGCTAGGAAGCCTTGGGTTCAGTCCACTGCACTGCATAAAATCAGGCATGGTAGCACAGGCCCCTAATCAAAGCACTTGGGCGGCAGAGGCAGGAGGACCAAAAGTTCATGGTCTCATTCTTAGCTACATGGAGAGCAAAAGACTGGGGCTGGAAAGATGGTTCAGGAGTTAAGAGCACTTAATGTTCACACAGAAGTCAAAATTCAGTACCCAGCTTACACATTGCTGCTCACGACCACCTTAACTCCATTTTGGGGGATCTGAAACTTTTTTTTCTGGCTCCACTAGCCCCAGGTTTTCGATAGACAAAACACAAATATACAGAAAAGAAAAATAAATAAGTCTTTTAAAATGTATTTTTTAAAAATCTGTAAGATGCTTAATATACCACTTTCTGATCACCTATGCCGAATGGGACTTTAAAAAAGATTTATTTATTTTTATTTTATGTGTATGTGTATGAGTGTTTGCCTGCATATATGTATGTATGCTTGGTGTTTGCAAAGGTCAGAAGATGATATTGGATCCCCTGGGTTTAAAGTTGCAGGTAGTTGTGAGCCACCTGGTGTGGGTGCTGGGAACTAAACCTGGACCCTCTGGAATGCATTGTGCAGGTTTAACTGCTGAGCCATCTCTCCAGCACTGAATGTGGCTTTTGGGAAACAGTTGACTTGCATAGAATGTCACAGCCTCTAACTACCAGACACAGTAGAAATCCATACTCCTTCGACATTTGACTTTTGTAAATATCTCCCTCCTGCAATTCTGGTATTTTACTAGTTATGTTATTGTGAGGCTAGAGACTTGCATAAGGTTTTGTTATTAAATATAGTGTTAAGGATGCCTCACATCAAGTACACTCAACAAGTACTCAGCTACCAGGACTCATTCCCCAAGCCCAGTACTGAGTTTCGAATTATTTTTTTTTTCAATATAAACAATTTTTTTTTTTTCAGTGCTAGGGGTTGAGCCAGGATATCTAGTATGGTAGGGAGGCCCTTTACCACTGTACTCCCCAGCCCATGCAAAATACTTTATGTTGAGATATCTATGCTCTGTGAAGTTGAACAGAAAAAAACATTGACAGTAGCTGCTAGATATACCGGGCACATACTGAATATTTCCTAAAACATGTAATTCCTTGTTATTTACCTGGCATGTGGCCATTGTGTTTTACACAGCTTGTGCTGAATATGTGTAGATTATGTAAGAAGCAAGATGAAGACCAGGGCTGTCTAAGAGAAGATACCTCAGACCAAGTTAGGAGAGAGAGAGACTAAGCAAAAAAACTGCCAAGTGTGCTTCATCCTCTCCATGTACACTGTTTTTTTCTCCAGACTTTAATGCCAAAAGGAAAAAGAAGATGAAGGAGATACACCAGGCTCTGAACAGTGATCCTACAGATGTGGCCACCCTCCGACGAATGGCTATCAGTGAGGGCGGGCTCCTGACTGATGAGATCAGGTGCCAGGTATGGCCCAAGCTCCTCTATGTCAACACGGATGAGCCACCGCCTGCGTCAAGTAAGAGAGCAGAGTCCTGGAGTGGGGAGCTTCGACCAGGGATTGAAATATCATTTAGATGGAAGAGTTTGTTAAAAATGTCTATCTTAGCTGGGTCTGGTGGTGCATGCCTTTAATCCCTGTACTCAGGGAGGCTGAGGCAGTTGGATTGCTGTGAGTTCCAAGGCAGCTTGGTCTACAAATTGAGTTCAGGACAGCCAAGGCTACACAGAGAAACCCTGTCTCATAAAAACAAACAAAAAAGCAAACAACAACAACAACAACAAAAAAAGCCCATTCTCTGGGGCTGGGAAGATGGCTCAGCAGTTAGGAACACTTGTTACTCTTGCAGAGGACCTGAGTTCAGTTCCTGGCTCACATGTGGTGGCTTACAACTATCTGTAACTCCAGTTCCAGGAAATTCAATGTCCTCTTCTGTCTTCCAAGAGCACTAGAGAGAGAAGTCTAAGATTCCTTGGTGTTCCTGAACTCTTTAATTCTGCTAGAAGCTGTTACATAACTACTCTGTAAGCCATGTAGTGAAGGGAGTTCTGGAACAGCCCTTGAGAAAAGTGCTGCAGAACAGCAGCTCCGCTGCCCGCCCTGCCACCTCCGCTTTCCCGCTCCTGAGGCATTTGGGAATGTGCTGCGTGTGCTGGGGCTTCTCTCGTTCATTTGGCAAATCTTGGTGCTCCTGGTGTGTTCCACATACTGGATGTGATTAAATGACTCATGTGCTTAAAGTTTGATGATGGGGTGCCAAGTAGATGCTGGGTTGCCAGTTGTTATGATTATTATGAGTGTTTGAAACTGGCTGCCTCAGAGCAGTGGGATTTGTGTCAGAGGGGAGTTGGGTGCTTTGTCCTTCGATGTCATTCTTTTCTTACATTCTAAACTTCCCCTGTCTGATACTAAGATGAAGAAAGTGTGTGTGTGCGCGCGCGCGCGCGCGCGCGTGCGTGTGCGTGTGTGCACTAACTGTGGGTACATAAGTCTTGAACAGGTTCCTCTGATAGCTTTCTGTGTGGGTTATGAAGAAAATCAACACACAGCACTTGGCTTGGGATGAGGGAAATACATGTTTGTATCTGTAAGCCCTCTCTCCAGCCCAGTTGATAAGCGCATTGCCTAGCATGCAAAAGGTTCAATCATAGCAGTGTATAAAACTAGTTGTGATGGCACATGCCTGTAATCATAGGACTGATGTGGTACAGGAGAATCAAGAGTTTAAGGTTACACCTTTAATCCCGCACCTGGGAGGCAGAGACAGGCAGGTGGATCTCTGAATTTGAGGCCAGCTTGGTCTTCAGAGTGAGTTCTAGGACAGCCAGGGCTACACAGAGAAACCCTGGCTCAAAAACAAAACAAAACAGTAAAAGAGTTCAAGGTCAGGGCTGGAGTGGTAAGAGCACTGCCTGCTCATCCAGGTTCCGCTCTCAGCGCTCACGTGGCAGCTAACAACTGTATGTGTAACTCCACTTCCAGTTCCAGAGGTTCTGAGTCCCTCTTCTGCTTCCTTGGGCAGTGCATGTATGCAGTGTACAGAAATTAACAAAACATCATGCACGTGATAATTTTTTGGTTTTGTTTTGTGAGATAGAGTTTCACTGAGTATTCCTAGCTGTCCTGGAACTCGCTCTGTAGATCAGGCTGCCTCTGAACTCAGAGTGATCCACCTGCCTCTGCCTCCCAAGTGCTGGAATTAAAGGCTTTCACCACCACTGCCAGCCCAAAAGTAAATCTTTAAAAAAAAAAAAAAAATGGAGAGAGAGGGCTCAAGGTCATCCCCAGTGTGTGATATTAGGGTGTGGGGGGTTATACCTAGTTTAACAGTGCAGTGTGATGTTTGATGGCATTTAGCAGTTTCACTCCAGAGCCACTCCCATGCTCATGTCCTCAGCTGCTCAAGGGCCTATATGTAGAGCCTCAGCGCTTGAATGCTGAGCACATACTGTGTCACATTCCTGAGTCTACTCCTTCCTCATGGTAACCTGAGAGGTACATATGGACAAGGACAAGCTCATTTCACAGACGGTGGGCAGTTCTTGTGAGGACAGTGGCAGTATATGGTTTCCCAAATCTCTTGACCTTTTGCCCCTCCCCCATCCTTCCTCACATTGCTCAAGACAGTCTCTTTCCTCCGTGCTCATCAGACTTATAAGAAACAGCTGTGTTTAAAGTAGAGCTTACTTGTCAAATGTATCTTAATTGGTTTTTCTGTTCTGTTTTGTTTTTAGTGGCAGTGGGAATCAAATCCATGGCCATGGGCTAGGCACGCACTCTAGCACTGAGCTGTGTCCCTGCCCCCCCCCCCCTTTGATTACTTCCTGTCCTTTGTTTCCCATTCTCTTCTTAAATTTTTATTTTGGGATGGGGTCTCGCTGGGTAGCCTCGGTTGGCTTCGGAATTGAGGCAATCCTTTTGCCAGTCTTTTAAGGGCAAGGATTGCAAGTGTGTGCCAGCTCTGCACCTGACTGAGGAGCTGGTGTTCGACGTGTACATGGCACTTGCATCCAGGTGTTCTATCTTAGGTCACATTCTTCTGAGGAAAAGGCTGCTTGATTTGGGTGTGTTTGAAGTCTCGCTATCATTCCAGAATGTAGTGTCTATTGCTGTTTTCTCGCTTTGACTTGCTGGGCATCAAGCTTGCTAGGTTAGCTCTCTATGACTGAGCTGTATCAGCAGCCCAAGGAGAATCTACTCCTTATCTGGCTTTGCAGACCTCTTTGCAATGACACCATGTTCCTCTTCCTCTAATAGGAAAGGATCTGCGACACATGAGCAAGGACTACCAGCAAGTGCTGCTGGACGTCAGGCGGTCTCTTCGGCGCTTCCCTCCGGGTGAGCAGATCTCCTGACTTGGCATATCTGGAAAGAGGTTTTCTGTCCCTTTGCACTTACCTTCTTGTGTTAGTACTTGCCAAGATTGGGAGTTTTCTTCCTAGCAACCAGAGACACACATGCAGAACCCTGCTCTCAGTCACTCAAGTGGGTGCCCTCACTGTGGATTCCTGTGTCCCAAGGGGTGGCAAGTGAGAGAAGGGCTTGCATCCTCATCTGCTCCTGTGTACTGGAGGGACTTTGTAGGGATTGTCAGGGCCAGGGATTGACTTTAGAGAGCAGGTTGGTTTGGAATTATATCCTAATGGGAACTATTACTGTCTTCATTGGTGAGTGTTACCTTACATGTGGGTCCATTGGGATGAGGGAGCCTTTTCCTGCATGTCCATAGAGTATGTTTCTGAAATTGCCTCTTGCTTTCCAGGATAAGGAAAAATGACTATGCTTTCTGTTTTCATGATGGAGGGAACTGAATAGCAAACCTCTTCTGTATAAGCTAGCTTTCTTCCCCTTGTTACTTTATCTTGACTTTTGAAGAGTTATGGTAGCCTCAAACTCTCTTGCCACACCAGTTGAAGCAAGCTCTGGTTGGAACATATGTGTTATAGGCATTCTGCCCTACTTGGATCTTTGCTTTCTGGGGAGGCTTGTGAGGCTCCCACAGGCTGGTAGCCAAGTCAGTCTGGATAGGATACAACATACACCATGACCCAGTCTGCTTTTCCTACCTTGTTGGTCCACTTGAGGTGATGTATGGCAAGTGTCACCCTGTTTTCCTCTGCATCCTTTACTTGTGTTGCTCCTTGAACTCACAGAGATCCACCTGCCTCTGCTACCTGAGTTCCATGATTAAAGGTATGCACCACCATGACAGGGCAAAACTAAATCCAGACAGAGAGAGCACACGAGCACTATAGGAAATCCTTGATGCCTTTATGTCACCAAGCCTATGGTGATCATCCTGCATGCTGGATCCTCCTTGACATTTTAAACTGTTTTCATTCATGTCCTCTGATCTAGCCTGACCAATCATAAGCCAGAAATTCAAACGGGACCTAGTTCTTTCCTCTCACTGCTTTCATGGTTTCACTTAGTTATTGGTTTGCTTTGTTTTTTAATAAATTTCTCTTTCCAGTGCGCCTCTTTGAAAAGGTGGAATTAATATGGACAAGGATAACCTTTGCTTTTGCCTTGAACCTTCATTGTTCAACTTCATGTAGGCCCTTACATGTAGGCCCTTGATGTTTTCTCTCACAATACCTACTTTTAACTGAAAGCTAAGAGCATAAGAAAGCTGTGTTTGGTGACATTCTTCTAAAATATTTCATGAGACGAAGGCTTGACATCTTCCACCTCCCCTAAGCGCTCAGTCATTTTCATTTACAATTCAGACTTCAAACTCAAAATTGTCCCGCCCCACAGGACTCAGTTATTCGTGGGGGCGAAGGGGGTCAATCCTGAAAAAGATGGGGGAGAGAGAGAAAGGACACAAGCAGACAGTTGCCGGTCAAGTGTCAGCTTTATTGAACTTTGGTGTTTCTTTTAAAACGTGGTTTTGGCAGGGTGGGGGAGAGGGGCGAGAAAGGGAAGTAGTAGTGGAAAAATACCAAGACCCTTGGTGGGAAGTTCCCAAGGCTAAGAAGGTGGGTTAAAGAGTTACAAGGCCCGAAGATAACATCGGTGGTCACGGATGTGTCCCAAAGCAAACAGTTTCGGGAACAATGGGTCGTAAGAAGCTATGGCCTGCTGGCGCCCGGTGCTTATCTGGCAGGTCAGGCCCTTAGGAAGGGTCCCAGGGCTTTGTTCCCAACATCTCCTCCCCTGTTGTCTTTTAAAAGAGGAGGGGGAGGCCTCTTAGGACTCTCAGCGATTTTATAAACAGTTTGGGAATTTTATAGGTCCAGGGACTCACGTTTACAAAGGTTCGGTGACTCAGGTCTCACAATCGTAGGCAGACCTAGGCCATTTCTGGTGCAATGGGAAGAATCCCTCAGAGTGCAAGGCCCTAGGTATATTAGCTGTCTTGATTATGTGAGAAAAATTATTTGTCACGAACGGCACAAACGGGGTCTGAGTCTGTTAGAAGAGTGGTGCTGGACCCTTACCCGTCATTGGATCGGCCTCCTCTGGGCGAGGTCGTCCTGTCTTAGGTGGGCCGAGACTTATCCACTCGTTCCGTCTCTGACTTGCCAGACCACTCACTTTGTGGTAGTGTAACGTGTTTGTTTTCCGATAGGACCTATTTATTGCTTGGTTTTTAAGCAATTATATAAAACGAGCCAATCATTGCGCCAATTAATGAGAGTCAAAAAAAGCCCAGGTCTAACTGGAAGAGCGGCCCCAGAACTTCCATCTCGGGCCAGGAGATACTAGGGTGGAGAAATCAAGGGGGTGGGAAGCTGGGGCATCAGGTGGAAGTTCCACGGCAGATTCTTCTTCCCCAGCCAGGCGATGGTAGTGGACTCCAACGGGCTTGATTGCGGAGCTTACCTGGTTCTTAACAAAGTTTGAGAGACAATTAAAGGCCCAAGGGCCAAAAGAGAGAAGCAAAAGGATACCTACAAAAGGTCCTAGCAGACTGGGAAGCAGAGTGGTTAGCCATGGGGATGTGGAAAACCAATTTTGATACCAGGACTCTTGTATCTCTCTGTTCCATTTTCATTCCTCCAAACTGGAGCGAACCTTATCGATACTGCCTTGCACTAAACCTGTTTTGTCAGTGTAAAAGCAGCATTCTTCCTTGAGCGCAGCGCACAAAATTAACATCATTGCCCATGGACCCTCCCAGATATCAGGCAGTTCAGCCTTCCAGTGTATACTGACCTGTTGCACGTCATCCTTGTGAAAACCTTTAAGCAGGCCATCTATCATCAGCTGTCAATTTTCCACAGGGCCACATGTGCATGACAGTCAGTGTGTAGCTCCTGAGCACATTTGTTTATTTTTCACATGTTGTTTTCAGACTGTCTTAAGACTGCTGAGCAGTAAAGGTCACCTGCTTCTCAGTGAGTGTTTCTCCAATCCATACAGTAACAAGAGTTGGCATTTTCTGGGTTGATTTTTAGTGGAGGAATTGGAACAGATTATGACAGCCTTCCATCCTAAAACAACTTCATGTTTGGGTGCTGTGATTTTTAACTCCTTTAACAGCCTTGAGGTTCCAGTTCACTTTCAGATCTCGGATGCCTTCTAGATGCAGAATTTGAACTGTCCAGCCTTTTCACCTTTGGGTGTCTTGATCTTGGTACATGGACTAAGCATGACCTTCTCCTCTTTGAGCTCTGGCTTTACATAGAACAGGTTCATAATTCTTGACCAAAACAGATTCACCAAAAACAACAACAACAACAACAACAAAAAAAAAAACCCAGATTCACCAAAGAGCCACACCACCGTGACTTACATGCCCTGTACTCCAGAGGGGTCTCAGTAGGGTGCCCCTGCTTCCAGTTGCAGCTGTGAATTGAAACCATCTTAGAATATTGGCTTTGGCTTAGAGAAGAATACAGCAGTTTTAATTTTCATATAACTCCTCACATAATTTTATTCCAAGAAGAAGGGAAAAGAAGTCTCTAGATACTCATCTCCTTATAGATTCATATGTTGCCACATTAATTGCCTATTCTTTCTTTCGATATGTATTGGAATTTTATTTCTGAACTATTTGAGATAAACAGCCATCACAGTTCCCTTTTGTCCAAAATATGTAATCCATACAGTAGTTCATCTTTTACCATTTATCCTATTGTTTTTATCAGAAAAGAAAACAGGTCCTCTGTTTGTTTGTTTGTTTGTTTGTTTGTTTTAAAACAGGGCTTCTTGATGTAGCCTTGGCTGTCCTGGACTCACTTTGTAGACCAGGCTGGCCTCAAACTCACAGAGATCTGCTGACTTCTGCCTCCCAGAGTGCTGGGATTACAGGCGTGCGCCCCCATTCCCTGGCCATGAGTCCTCTTTTGAACCTCCTTTACTGTCAACAGTTCCTTTGTGTACATGGCAGATGAGTTACTCTATCACTTTCTGCTTATGTTGGTTTTGTGTATGTTTGCTCATGAAGTTCAGGGTCATGTCTGTGATACTGGTGACAGGAGATTCACTGATGTGTAGAGCTTGTGGCGAGCATGACATCTAGGAGGCATGTGCTATTCTTTCCCCATGACTGGCCATGCTAACTAAGATTTTCCCAGGGCCCTACTGTGTGGCTTCTATGCTGGGTGCCATCAGCACTATGTACATTTTGCAAGGCATTGCCAGCTTGTTTGTAATTCATTGTCTGTCACTGGACACTTTTCTCTGAAAAGCATTGCCAGCATTGCTAGCCTAGACTCCTATCACTAGGCTCCTTGCCAGTGCAGATGCTCCTTCTCTTCTCAGGCATGCCAGATGAGCAGAGAGAAGGGCTCCAGGAAGAGCTGATCGACATCATCCTCCTCATCTTGGACCGCAACCCTCAGCTCCACTACTACCAGGGCTACCATGACATTGTGGTCACTTTTCTGCTGGTAGTGGGCGAGAAGCTGGCAACATCCCTGGTAGAAAAATTGTCTACTCATCACCTCAGGTACCTGTGCATCTGGTCTCATACCAGGATGGGGATCACTTACCCCAGCCTCCTAGGATAGTCAGATGGCTGAATAGTTTGAGCCCACTCCATTCACCAGCCCTAAGCTGAATGCTGGACCTGACCAAGTGTGTTGACTGGATTGTCTTCCCATAGGGATTTCATGGATCCCACAATGGACAACACTAAGCACATCCTAAATTATCTGATGCCCATCATTGATCAAGTGAACCCGGAACTCCACGACTTCATGCAGAGGTGAGTCTACATTTGTGTATATACAAGATCCATATGGCAGCCCTGAACCTTGCTCTTTTGGCTTACTCTTTTTCAGAAACCTAGCATGTAAGGGATAACAGCTCAAGGCTTAAGGAACTCATATCTAGTAGGTATGTCATAAATTCTTAGAAGAGTAAGGAGAAGCTACATGTGGTGTCATGTGCCTATAACGAAGCACTTGGAAGGTAGGGACAGGAATATCAAGAATTCAAGGCCAGGGGATGGAGAGATGGTCCAGTGGTTAGGAGCCCTTGTTACTCCTGAAGAGGACCAGAATTCAGTTTCCAACACCTACACCTGTGACTGCCTGTAACTCCAGCTCCTTGGAATCCAACTTTTAGTTTCTGTAGACACTTACATGCACATAGTAACACACAGACACGCATACATACACAGAAAAGTAAAGTATTTTCACTTGAGTTTTTAATTTTTATTTATTTTTTTAAAGATGTATTTATTTATTATTTATACAGTATTCTGCCTGCGTGTACCTGCAGTCCACAAGAGGGCACCAGATCTTGTTATAGATGGTCATGAGCCACCATGTGGTTGGTGGGAATAGAACTCAGGACCTTTTGAAGAACAGCCAGCACTCTTAACCTCTGAGCCATCTCTCCAGCCCCTTATTTTTATTTTTTGAGACAGGATGTCACTATGTAGTCTTGACCACACTGGAACTCATATAAAGATCTTCTGTTTCCTAAGTGCTGGGATTAAAGGCATGTGCCACCATGACCTTTGGTAAAAATAAATATTTACAAAATAATACAAAGAATTCTATGCCATCCTTGGTTATATAATGAGTTTGAAGCCAATCTGAGACACATGAAAACCTGTATTTAAGTCAAACAAACAAACAAAAAAAGGGCAGTGGTGGTATACTTCAGTGACAGAGGCAGGCAGATCTCTGAGTTTGAGGCCAGCCTGGGTTACATACTGAGTTCCATGCTAGTCAAGGCTGCATAGTGAAACCCTGTCTCAAACAAACAATAACAACAAAAAATTTAAAGTAAAAGCAAACAAAATGGCTTAGAGGTTAAAAGTGCTTTCTGCTCTTGCAGAGGACTTAGGTTCAGCTCACAGCACCCATATCAGGTATCTCACAACTTTTTTTTTCTTTTTTTTTTGTTTTGTTTTGTTTTTTTGAGACAGGGTTTCTCTGTATAGCCTTGGTTGCCCTGGAACTCAGTCTGTAGACCAGGCTGGCCTCAAACTCACAAGGATCCACCTGCCTCTGCCTCCAGAGTGCTAGGATTAAAGGTGTGCACTACCTGGCTTCATGGTTTTGGTGTTTTGTTTTGTTTTGTTTTTTGATTTGCAACTCTTCTTAACTGTAGTTCCAGGGAGTTCAACACCCTCTGGCCTGTGCAAGTACCTGGGTAGTACACACAGCCACACACATACATAAAGATAATAAATAAATCTTTTTTAAAGATTACATTCATGTGTATGTGTGTTTTGCCTGGACATATATGTAAGTGGATTGCCTCCATGCCTGGTGCTCAAGAAGGAAACTAAAGTGTAATTGAGAGCAGGGGCTCCTTGTTCTGGATGGAGGTCTGTTATGCATTAGAAGAACACCCAGTCCCTCTGATGAGGGAGCAGCCTTACCAGGCCACAGAGGAAGACAATGCAGCCAGTCTTGATGAGACCTAATAGGCTAGGGTCAGATGGCAGGGGAGAGGACCTCCCCTATCACTGGACTCGGGGAGTGGCATAGGGGGAGAAGAGGGAGGGAATAAGAGAGGGGACTACAGCTGGGATACAAAGTGAATAAACCGTAAATAACATTAAAAAGAAAAATGAAGAAGAGCACCCAGGAAGATGAGACACTGGGATACCTTTGCTGCCATGTGCTGTTTGTTTTTCCTGGTGCTGGGATTGAACCCAGGACCTTTTCCATGCTAGGCAAGTGCTCTACCAATGAGTTCCTTCCCTGGCCATTGTGCTTTTTCTGTTTGTTTTGTTGTTTCAGGTTTTGAGACAGGGTTTCTCTATGTATTCCTGGCTGCCCTGGAACTTGCTCTGTAGACTAGGCCGGCATTGAACTCAGAGATCTGCCTGCCTCTGCCTCCCCACCCCTTTCTGGGAGTGAAGGTCTGGGCCACCACTGCCTGGCTTTGTTGTACATTTTTAAGAATTTAGTTTTTTAAGAAGATGCTGAGTTCCTAGGTAGCATAATTTCCCAAGAGGCATATTTTACAAATACGTCTTCCTCAACAGCTCTTGAGAACAAAGAAGGCTCAGAGAAAGGGAAGGGATGAGCTGGCAGGTCACCTAACATCTGGATTTCCTTTGCTCCTAGTGCTGAGGTGGGGACCATCTTTGCCCTCAGCTGGCTTATCACCTGGTTTGGGCACGTCCTGATGGACTTCAGGCACGTTGTGAGGTTATACGACTTCTTCCTGGCCTGCCACCCGCTCATGCCCATTTACTTTGCAGCTGTGGTAGGTACACACTGGGAGGCAGTGACTAGTTCACTGTTACCTGTCCAACTTGATCAGTATTCTTGGGCTGGTGGCCCATTTCCCTGTCTGAGAAGTGTTAGGAAATGTTGGTTAAGCAACTGTTCTCACTTTGAGACTTCCAACCCTTTTAAACACCAGAGTGTCAGTTGACTGTCAATCACTACTGACACTCCTGGAACTACAGCTAGGAGACATCATATGGGCACAGCTGACAGTTCAGTGTGCCTGCCAGTGCCAGGCTTCAGGAGGGAGAGGCAGGCCTGGTGTTAGGCTTAAAACAGGAGTGTTTGGTGGAAGAGTGTGGGGCTTGTGCCCAAGAGGGCTGTGTGGAGAGTGGGCCTTCAGCAGCTGTGAACATGAGCACTACTGACATGTTCTGAGGATGTCTGAAAGAAGCAAAATGTGACCTTTTTCTTCTTCCTAAAGGAATGTCAGGTTGTTTCAAGACTTAGGGGAACACCTGAGCAACTGTTCTGGGAGGACTTAATAGATTTGGGCGATCTTTCACATTATAGGTGGAGTGGGATACAGATTTTGCCAAACCTTTGGGGTGAGTGCTGTCTGTTACTAAGACTTTCTGTGTATAAAGAAAAGCAAGTGTCCAGGACCTGTGCCTCTGGTATCTGATTCAAAGCCTACCTTCGCCAGATCGTGCTATACCGGGAGCAGGAAGTCCTGGACTGTGACTGTGACATGGCCTCTGTCCACCACCTGTTGTCCCAGATCCCCCAGGACCTGCCCTATGAGACGCTCATCAGCAGAGCAGGAGACCTCTTTGTGCAGTTTCCCCCTTCTGAACTTGCAAGGGAGGCGGCTGCTCAGCAGGAAGCTGAGAGGTGAGGTGGGCGAGATGCTGCTGCAGCTGGGCAGTTGGAAACCAGATCGGCCCTTGATGGTTGGTCATCTTGTCTAAAGGGTATGGGGTTCCACATTGCAGCAGATTCTGTGCTGCAGGCCATGTCAGTCTTTACCAGAAGCTCATTCTGAGTGAGCAGTGGCCTGGTCTGCAGCAGGCCACTCAGTGTTTTCTGCCCCTCTCTACCTTTTGCCTCCTTCCACAGAACGGCAGCTTCTACTTTCAAAGACTTTGAGCTGGCATCAGCCCAGCAGAGGCCAGATATGGTGCTGCGGCAGAGGTTTCGGGGACTTCTGAGGCCTGAGGCTCGAACAAAAGATGTCCTGACCAAGCCAAGGACCAACCGCTTTGTGAAGCTGGCAGTGATGGGACTAACAGTGGCACTTGGAGCAGCAGCACTAGCAGTGGTGAAGAGTGCCCTGGAGTGGGCCCCTAAGTTCCAGCTGCAGCTGTTCCCCTAAATTCAGCTCAAGGAGCTCTTCCTCACCCAGTGCCCCAAGCTTCCCCATTTCCAGAAAGAGGGTGGAATTGCTGTGATTAAAGGGTTTCTGTCAGGGGTGTCCTGTCTGCCACCCTTGGCAGCTTGTCTTTTGGCTTTGGTGGCTAGTGGCAGAGCTAGCCACCTGATACTGGGCTTGGTGGACCTGCTTGCTGTCTGCACCTCTCCCCCTATTGGAAGTGGCTCTGGAGCACCCGGCTACCCAACTCACTGCCTAGAAGAAAGTTGGGCCCAGAGATGCCCTCCTTACAGCACCATGTGTTCTGTGATCTTAGCGTAGGCAGGGGCTGCTGAACAAAGTCCAGCCTTGGAATGAAAGCAAGGGGAGAAAGCACTAGCCTAGGAACCAGCTGGGTCCTCCTAAAATCGGCTTCATTAGTGGTCAGAATCAGAGGAAGACATGAGCTGTTCTAGTTAAATTTTATGATCCCAGCCTAGATTTTTGTGTGCAGAGGAATGTTAATCATCTGGACAGTGTTGCCCGTGTCTCCCTGTTTTCTTTACAGGCCATGACATTACCTACAAAGAGATTTTTAATTCTATTTTTATGATTGTATACCACACCTAACATAGCAAGTAATCTCATTTTTAAAGTTACTTATGTGTGTGTGCAGGTGCCCACAGAGGCCAGAGGCGGACTTTTTCCTGGAGCCTGGTGTGGGTCCTGGGATCTGGATACCAGTCCTCTGGTGAAGCAGAAGCAGAAAGCGCTCTTAACTGCTGAGCCTCTCTCTAGCCTCTTTGATAGCTCCTTCATGGAGAAGCTAGCAGAGTGATGAGCTTCTCCTGGTTTAGCATTTACTTATTTTTGGAGGGAGCCCAGGGCCTTACACAAGCGAAGCAGGTGTTCTGCCACTGAGCTGCCCCAGCCTTTTTTAGTAGTTCTTCTTTTTGAGACAGGGTCTACCAGAGTTACCCAGGCTGGCCTTGAACTTTTGATCCTTCTGCGTCAGCTCCCGATTATCTGGGATGACAGGATTGCACCTGTGATATGCTCCCTGCTCAATTTAGCCAAAGTTGCTTTGTGAACAGCCCCATATCCCACAGTGCCACTTCCTGTCCCACTTTCCTTATTTTCCACTAATTACCCACCTTGGCCTGTCCTTTCGTTGATCTCCTCAGCTGCTGGTCTCAGGCTGGGAATATCCTTGGAAACTTGCCAGTATGTAGACAGGGTTTGGCAGGAACCCCACACTACCAGCCCCACTTACCCCTGGGCTCCTCCAGGAGAGGTGCATGGGATTCATGGGATCACTCGGTCTTCCTAGGATGGCTTTGTTAAAAGTGAAGCCAGGTGTGTTTTATAGTAACTGGCTTGAAAACAAAAGTGCCTTTTGCTGCTTTAGAGTGTGTAGTGGGAAGCATCTGTGCGCTTCCAGTTTCCTCATCTTTCCTGGGCACTCTTCTCCAGTCCTGCCATGTCCAGACCCCACGTGTGTCTCCTGCCCATCCCTTTGTCCCCTGTGCCTACTGTATGCAGTGGGACACTGCATGCCAGGCAGCCACAAAGCCAGAGCACATACGAGGTGTCCAGGCTGAGTTACACAAAGCACTTTAATCAAGTCAAGCTGGAGTGGTAAGTCCTCTGCACAGCTCTGCCTGGGGTGAGTGATTCACCGGGATTAATTCAAGACAAAGAATTTTCCCAGGATCCAGTGATAAGGTGACAAATACTGTCAGTATTTGTCAGGAATACAAACAGGAACTTTTCATCTATGCCTCTATAGCCTGCTTGAAGAGCTGTGGAAGTGTGCTGGCTGAGGGAAGGGGCATGGGCCCAGGGTCCAAGCCACAATTCTGCATCCAAGCAAGCAGGTGGCACTGACTTGTGCTGAGCTGAAGAGAGTCCATAATAGGACTCCCCTGCCACTGAGAAGAAACGTTGTCAACTTACCTTCAGGTATTTACTTAATCTGTAAAAAAAAAAAAAAAAAAGTAGATGTTTTGTACAGAGCCCTGTATGAAATAAACACCCTTAAGTGGTTCCTAATCAGTTGTCCTTGTACCACCTCTGCTGACCTGGAAATGGGCCTACTCTAAGGTTCTCATCAACTTCTACCCTGGGCCCAGCTGGGGCCTGAGCCTGTCAGCACAGTGACCATTTCCAGTTTCGTTTCGCATACAGGTGTAATTGGTTTAGGGCAAAAGTCCTGCCTCAAGCAACTGGCAAAGGTTAAGCTAACTACTTCCCTGGCTTGATACACAGCTTAGACACAAGTGGTGAGAAGCAGTCAGGACTTGGAACAAAGGGCCAGTGACCTCAAATCACATCTGGGGTACAGATGTGAGAAAAAAATTAGGAAAAGTCACATAATGAATTCTTTCAATGTGTCACTTGGCACTAACCCAGCTTCCCACTATGGCTTCAGCGCTTCCATGTGCTGACTTCTCCATGGGGCAGGAGAAATCATCACACTCTGGAACAGGTCTTTCTTCTGGGCAGGGCCTGTCTGCCAACAACTTTTCAGGAAAAGAGCTAGGTTGGGTAGGCAGACATGTGATTAACATTCTTAAGCAGAGGCAAGGAGACTGACCCCAAATCAAGGCTAAGAGGCCAGGCTTCTGTCCCTTAATCCCTTTGTGGGTGCAAGTAAGGATTTTTAGCAAAGGTGTTTTGATTTTTTTTTTTTTTAAGATTTTATTTTCGGTTATATGTATGTGTAAGCTGTCCTCAGAAGTCAGAAGGTGGGATCATCTGGAGTTACACAGGTGTTGGACACTGAGCTGGGTCCTCTTGAAGAGCCTTACATGTTCAGCCACTGAACAGTCTCTCAGCCCTAGCAAAGATGCTTCCCAAGTACCAGGCATACATGAGTGTGGCCCCCACACTGCAGCTGCTTGCAGGCACCATCACAGCTAGGTGACAGGTACAGGACATGCCTAGTGTGCTCTGGACTTTCTTGCTTTGCAGGCCTTCAATTCAGAAGGCCAACACTGAACCTAACTGAGCCTGTTGTGGAAGGCACACCAGCTCATCACACCTAGTTTCTATCTATCTATCTACTGAGGAATACCTGACAGTTGCTTCACTCAGCTTCTAGCCTAGCTGTTCTCAACCTGTGGGTTGTGACCCCTTTGGCTAAGCCTCTATACCCCAAACTATTTACATTATGATTCATAACAGCAAAATTACATTTAGGAAGTAGCAACAAACATAATTTTATGGATGGGGGCCACCACATGAGGAACTGTATTAGGAACAGCATTAGGAAGGTTGAGATCCACTGGTCTATAGCCTCTAAACAGCCCCACTCCTGGCAGTATGGTGTACTCTTGTACACAGCAGCGGGGTCCCTTTTGGAATCATCCAGGAACGTGGAGCTGGTGCTTCATAGTCACTCTCTGTTGATCCTTGCTACACCACAATAGGCCACCAGCTTGTGATGCCCTTTGACGTGGCAACTGTGAGCCTTAAACAGGGACAGGACTAATAGGGACAAGGGCCCAGCCTCTGGCAGCTTACAGCAGAGGGCTAAGGAGCAGTTGGAATGGCAAAAGCCCTAAGTAGCCTCAGACTTACAGACTGAACACGAAGGACAAGTAGGAATTTGGTAACTGGGTAAGAAAGGAAGGGCACATGCCTGTTATCCCAACACCCTGGAGGCCAAGGCACAAAAAAGACTGCTGTGAATTCAAGGACAAGCTGGACTACATCGACCTTATATCTCTAAAAACAAGACAAACCCTCATTCTCTCTTTCAGGTTCCTTCTTGATCCCACTCAAAGCTATAGGTCCAACCCAGGGCTCCACATTTCAAGGGCTGGAAAATGCTCACCCTGGAAAAGCTACATGCCCCAGCATTTGGGGCGAGACTTTAACCACCACAAGTGTTGTGCTTATTGTTGTGGGTCACATGGGAAGACAGCTGCCATGTCAATCTCAGAAGGTGCTGAGTGGGTCAGGGTGGAGGGAAACCACCAGAAGACATCGGATCAAGGCTTTACCATCTTGCCTCGGCTGTTAAGGCAGATGAACTACCACCTACTCAGTTTCAGCAGTTCCTGAAACTACTCTGCTCCTCACTTTAGATGCCCAGAGAAGAGGAGAGCAGCCAAGCCTTTCCCCCAGTCTCTACTGCTGCATTGGCCTCCCTCCCCAGCATCCCTCCAACCTCAAAATCCTCTATAGATTTAACCAGTGTGGGCTAATACTGGCCCAAGCAACCCTTGTCCCAAGTTGGGCATCATGGTGCCAGGTCTGCTATAGAGGTCCCAGAGCTGAGCCAGCCTTATTCCCCCAACCACCAGGACCAACAGATGACCTCCAGGTGCTGTTCCAAGCTTTCAGAGCTCATCTTCCTGCCTGTGTGGAACCCATATTGTGAAGTTTGCTCCTTCAAACAAAACACTGCTCCCCTTTCTGGAAAACCACTTTAATCCACTTACTCAAAGAAGGAAATGCAGAGCCGGATCCCCCATGGGCTATGTTTCCAGAACTAACAAATCTACCTGGGCCCTGAGGCCCAGAATGGGTTCACATCAGCCCTAAGAAGTGCCAGGCCTTCAAAAGCAACAGCAGCAGAAGTGCCCAGAAAGCAAGGCAAAGGGTGAGGCTGTGGGTCCTCAGGGAGCATGCTAGGGGAGAACAAAGTCACTTGGAGGCCCAGAGCCTAGCCAGCCAGGCCTTTGGCCAAGGCTGTGTTTAAGGCTGGTGGCTAGTGAGGGTAGGGTGTCCAGCTCAAAGATCTGTCAGCAACCCCTGGAAGCAACACAGGCAATAGGACTGCCATAGCACCAGCTCAGCTGGGCTCTTGTAGCACAGCAAGCAGGCTGACAGTGCAGCTCAGGGACTTCTCCTGGGCCAACCAGAGCTAAAGCCTCTGTCCTAGCCCTGCTTGTTCGCTGCTACAAATGAGGGCCACCATCTTCAACTCAGTGGCAGTTCTGACAGCTAGGGTGGCAAGGAATTCCATTGACCCGGCAGCGGCAGCCCCCACTGGTGTCCCCTGGGCCCTAAAGGATACAGAAAAGAGGTTATCAGGATGATAAAAACGGGCTTATCCCCAAGTCACTCCATCAGCCCAAAGGCAGAGCCCATCTGAAGGTACAGAGGGGCTACCAAAGGCCCTCCTGTAAAGAACAGCCTCAGCCTCAGCAATCTCAGGGAGGCAGCATGAAGGCCTTTCAACCCCTCCAGCATCCTCAACTCCATGGTCTCCCCTCTGGGCCAGCACCTGGGCAGAGGAAAAAAGTACAGTTTCCTCTGTACCACCTGACTCTATGACCACCAGTAATGATGCCAGCTCTGACTCCAGCAACACAGCTCTAATGCCGACTGCTGCTGTCTACAGAGCACTCCCAACCTATGAGACACACACACCGAGCACTTCTCCTGTCCTTGTTTCTGATGGTCTGAGACAGGCCCTTATTCTGTCTTCATTTCATGGGGCACAATCTGAAGCTGCAAGGTGGCAAATATGTGCCAGAGGAAGGGACTTCCCAACTTCAGACAAGCCCTGACTTGCTCTCCCCTCAAACACAACAGCAGGCAAGCCTTGCTACACAGGCCAGGTCCACCGTCTGGAAGGTCTTGACCTCTCAGCATGAGCACAGCTGCAGGCAGGAGGCAAGAGCCTGCGGTGGGTGGCTCCAGGAGTATTTACTGTGGGTCTCCCACACTGTCAAAGAGTGGCTTTTGATAACCTTTTAAATACTTAAAATATAAAAAATTCTTAACCCTCAAGCCCACCAAGGTGACACATGGTGCTATAACCTCCAGCACTCAGGAAGCTGACCTAGGAGGATTGCCACAAATTCCAAGCCAGCCCAGGCTACAGAGTGAGTCTTTTTGTTTTGGTTTTTTGAGATAGGGTTTCTCTGTGTAGCCTTGGATGTCCTGCACTCACTCTGTAAACTAGCCTCTGTAGACTAGACTAGACTGGCCTTGAACTCACTGCCTGCTTCTGCCTCCTCCAGTGCTGGGATTACATGCCTGGCTGAGAGATAGTCTTAAAAAAAGAAAGAACAAAGACTGGTAGTGTACACCTATAATCGCAGAACTTGGGGAGGCAGAGGCAAGTGGATCTCTCTGAGTTCCAGGCCAGCTTGGAACAAAGCAAGTCTACAAAGCCAAGTCCAGAGAAAACCAAACACACACACACACACACACACACACACACACAGAGAAAGAGAGAGAGAGAGGGAGAAGAGAGAGAATGAGAGCCAGAGAGAGAGAGAAAGAGAGAGAAAGGCAGGCAGTGGTGGTGCATTCCTTTAATCCCAGCACTTGAGAGACAGAGGCAGGTAGACCTGAGTTTGAGGCCAGTCTAGGCTACAGAGTGTGTTCCAGAATAGCCAGGACTACACAGTGAAACCCTGTCTTAAAAAATCAAGGGGAAAGAAAGAGAGAGAGAGAGAGGGAGGGAGAGAGGGAGGGAGGGAGGAAGGAAGGAAGGAAGGAAGGAAGGAAGGAAGGAAGGAAGGAAATCTTCCCTTGGGCTGGCTTGGCAGATTAAAAGTACTTGCCCCTCAAGACTAGTGACCCACATGAAGATGGAGAGCACTAATTCCACTAAGATGTCCACTGACCTCAAATTAATCACATGGCACAAACACGCACATTCCCACTCCTGCATTCTTTCCTCTCCTGCTCTCAAATACACACATGCACAAAAACAATTAAAAAAAAAAAAATCAAGCCAGGCATGGTGGCACACACTTTTAATCCTAGGGGACAAAGTTGGTGGGTAGCCTGGTCTACAGATTTCTAGGTCAGCCAAGGCCACAAAATGAGACCCTGCCTTAAAATTAAATAAAAGTAAAATAATCCTTCCCTGTAAGCTGTCCACAGTACATTAAACTTAGTTCATGCTCAGGTTTTGAGTCCCACTCCAGTACTCACACTACCCTCAGCTCACCAGTATGTAAGACTCACCCCAGGGCCCCAGCGTGGCCCCTTGGTGACCCAGCAGATCTCAGTGTGGCAGACAGTGCAGCGGATCCAGTCACAGCCATCCTTCTTCTGTACCACAATCCGGCACTGTGGGCAGT